AATTTCAAACATTGGTGCGGTGCATAAGTGTAACGACCCGACCGGTCATTTTGAGCATTTGCACTTTGCTCGCTAGTTCTCGGTCAAGGCTAGCCCCGCATGATGCTTTATAACTTATGTAAATCGTTGGTTTTGGTTTTCAGGATAATCGGAACAGATTTGGAAGAACAATTCTAAGCTTTAAATTTGAAAGGTTTGACCAAGTTTTTACTTTTTAGTATATGATTTCGGATTTGGATTTTTATGATTTGGTTAGCTCCATTGGGTGATTTGGGACTTAGGAGCGTGATCAGAATGTGTTTTGGAGGTCCGGAGTAGAGTTAGGCTTGAATTGGCGAAATTGGAATTTTGGCGTTTTCCGGTTGATAGGTGAGATTTTGTTATAGGGGTCAGAATGGATATCCGGAAGTTGGAGTAGGTCTGTTGTGTCATTTGTGACGTGTATGCAAAATTTTAGGTCATTCAGACAAGGTTTGATAGACTTTTTGACCAAAAGCGGAATTCGGAAGTTTTAGAGTTCTTAGGCTTGAATTCGTGGTTGATTCGATGTTTTGATGTTATTTTAGGTGTTCCGAAGGTTGGTACAAGTTTGAATAGTGGTATAAGACTTGTTCGAATTTTTGGTTGAGGTCCCGGGGGCCTCGGGATGATTTCGGATAGTTTTCGGAGAGTTTGAACTTGGGAAATTACAGCTGGTATTGCTGCTTCTGTCATATCCGCACCTGCGGATTGGGGACCGCAGGTGCGAGCTCCGCAGGAGCGGAAGAGAGGCACAGGTGCGTGTAGGACCGCAGGTGCGGCTTGGAAAACAGCATCTGCGATGCCGCAGAAGTGGTGAAGCAGCCGTAGATGCGAGACCTGGTGAGGCAAGTGAAATCCGCAGATGCGCTTGTGGGATCGCAGGTGCGAAATCCCTGGGTAGAAACTATATAAGCATTCCTTCGCGAATTTTGGTCATTCTTCCACCATTTTTGGTCGATTTTGGAGCTCCAAGCTGTGATTTCAAGAGGGAAACAAGTGGTTTCAGAGAGGTAAGCTACCTAGGCTTTGTATCTTGTGTTTATGGTTATTATTCCATTGTTTAATCAAGATATTTGTGGGAAAATTGGAGAAAGAATTGGGAATTTAGGGTTTGGAACTTGAGACTTCGATTAGGGATTTGAGGGGCCGTTTGTGGTCCAATTTTGATGTTCTTGATATGTATAGACTCGTGGGAGGATAAGGATTCTATTGATATGATTTTTATTGGATTACGAGACGTGGGCCCGAGGGCCGGGTTTGGCCAATTTTGGGATTTTGAGTTTAATTTGATAATTTTCGCGTGGGCTTTGTCCCTTTGGCATGTATTGATGTTATGATTCTGATTTTGGATAGATTCGAGGTGATTTGAGGCCGAGTCGCGCGGCAAGGGCATCGCAGTGTTGGTGTTCGTCCAGATCGAGGTAAGTATTGATTGTAATTGTTGTCCTAATATGAAACCCCGGATTTCACATCGTTGTGCTATTTTAAGGTGACACACACGCTAGATGACGAGCGTGGGGTCGTGCACTGTTGGGGATTGTGACTTGGTCCGTCCCGTGCGGCTGTTAATTCGCGTATTTGATTGAAAATTGTTTGATATCATTGTGTTTCTGGAAAATATTACTATGTTTTGGGCTGAATGCCATATCTGGGCCTTGTGCCAACCGTTTGGACCCTTATGGGTTTTTTGCTACTGTTTCCTCGCACTATTTTATTTGAAAACATATCCTCAGTCATGATTTTTACCTGTTTACTTTTGATTTAGTTTTAATACTCTGTTTTAAATATGAAAGTTGTTTGGGATGAGCACCATGTTCTACTGATAGCCGAGTGGCTTATGAGGCTGATGACTGAGAGGGACCGAGGGTCTGATTGTGAGGTTGATGACTGAGAGAGGCCGAGGGCCTGGTAGTGAGGATTATATATATATATATATATATATATATATATACTGCACGCTACAGCGATATAACGCTTGGGCTGTAGGAGCCCCTCCGGAGTCTGCACACCCCCAGTGAGCACAGTCGGCTATATATATGGATCGCGCTGCACGCCTCAGCGATATATGGATCGGGCTGCACACCGCAGTGGTTATTATAAGGTACCTATTGAGCGTGAGTGCTGAGTGTGAGCGCTGATTGATGAGAGTTGAGTCTCGAGTAACTGAGAGCCATGCCCGAGGGGCTATATATATATATATATATATATATATATATGAGTGATGCTTTGCCCGAGGGGCTTGTTTTTATGAAATTACTGATTTCACTTCTCCTTAAAGTGATTCTATATTGAATATGCTGAATTAAATTACTGATTTCACTCATCTTTATACTGAGCCTCTATAGAAAATGTTAAACAAATGTTTTGAACAAATTTTCATTGAAATTGGAGTTTTTACGAGATGTTCGGAATTTAATCACTGATTTGGCTTTGTTATTTCCTCTGGCACCTTTACTGTTTTGAGATGTACATGCTTTATGTTTTGCCCGAGGGGCTGTATACGAACTACGTTTTGCCCAAGAGGCCGATTATGATTTTTATCACTTTCACTATGAACTACGTTGAACCTCTACTGAACTGTTAGAAAGACATTTTACAAAGGACTTTACTGAAATCGGAGTTTTAACGAGATGATTTGATTTGTATCCTATTTTGGAAACCTAATGTACCCATTGTGGTGCTATGACGTGGTTTACGTGATTTCTTATTGCTCAATCGTTATTTACTCTTATTACTTACTGGGTTGGCATACTCACATTACTCCCTGCACCTTGTGTGCAAATCCAGATATTTCTGAGCTCGGTGGCAGGTTCATTGGAGATAGTAAGGTAGTTGCACGGCGTTCGCAACCCTACCTTCCCCTCCCTATCCTTATTATTTTATATTTCAAGCTTATATTGTATTAAGCAGACAATGTTGAATTGTATTTAGTGGATCATGACTAGTGACACCAGATTCGGGCTGGGTTGATGTATTTACATACTTGATTCCGCGTATTTATGTTGATACATATTAATATGAAAGATTTGAGGTTTAATCTGTTTTAGAAAAATACAATGTTTACAAAAGATCTTCTGCATTGTTTATGTTGTTTCGGCTGGCCTAGTTCTATGATAGGAGCCATCACGACCAGGGGATTTGGGGTCGTGACAAGAAGCTTGGTGCGATGCTTGATTTGTAGTTGTGGAATTCATAATGCGGTGCAGAGAGCTTGGTAATTGATGGTGCAATGCAGAGAGCTTGGTGATGATGTTTTTGCAATAGAAAATGGTTCGGTCCAGAGAGCTTGATGCAATGCCTTTGTGGAAGTGAATAT